ATCCTAAAGCTGTCTCGGGCTCGTCATAACTACTGTCGTTTTCCTTTGTAATCACTTCCGGGTGCGGCGATCGAGGTAGGCCGAATGTAAAAAAGCCGACTACCGAAGAAAAAGTTTACGACGACTCGACAAGCCACTCAAATTGGTCGTCTGCCGGCGGAATTAAAGAGTTTACGGTTCCCGCTCCGCTGTCCGCCGCGATTCCAACGCTCCGCTCGTCGGCCCTGAAGCCGGAAAAGTTTTAATTGAAAATACTTGGTGTGTTTTGCACATAAGCCATAGATTGGCCTACGCTCAGCACCGCCCCCGGGCCGGAACCGATGCGTCCGTACAAATGTGATTATATATTCTGTATAGTAATTTCGGCGAATAATGTAAATCTGGTTTACATAGGGACCCGACTAAACTGGTCACGAAATGGATGAAAGCTGAGCAAACAGCGTAAGCGAATAATCAATCGACCCTTTTCCACGTCACTAGTAGGTAAGAAATTATCGCGAATAATGAGGTTCTTCGTTAAGCGTTTTGCACTAAGCCATTAATACCGTCGTCCAACAATATATTAGTGCAGGTAATATTCCATTGTTTTCCTTTTCGGCTAAGTACAAGTGTCGGCGTAGGCTATAAGTAATATAGAAGCATTTTTAACTATCCATTCGTACATCAAACGTTTTTATTTTTGATGCAGTCTACTGAAATGTGTATTGATCGTTTTTTAATCCACACATAATGAGATGTATTAAAATCTGTATCTATAATTAAACTACCGTCGATTATTTTGCCAGAGCAAACGGTTTATTTTCCATTGGCCGACTTTGTTTAGTTCCTATCAAATAATGATAATTCGTCAGTGACGTCAGAACCGGCGGACAGTTGCCCCCTTGGTGAAAATACGAGGGGGGCAAATGTATCATTGTGTCCCCTCAATAGAATCTGACAATAAAAATTACAAATTGATCTGGCAAAATAACATTACCATACTTGATTATTTAGCTATTCAGATTTTAGGATTAAAAAGTCTTAATGAATTTACCAGCTAATGAACTTCAGTTGAATATTAAAAAACGGTAGCACGGTGGAGTAGTGGCACAGTATGGACATGCCATAGTAGGGACAAGTATAGATGATTGTTGACAGTGACTAAAATCATTATCATAAGAAACGCTAAAATATACAAATCTATAGATAGTGTTTAATTAAAAAAAAAATGGTGGATTAATCTAAAAGAAAAATTAAGTCCTATTTTTTGTTCTAATTCGACTGCCATTTGAACATAGAAAATAGGTCTTCGATACAAATTTTTTTTTTGAACTTCTAGTACATAAAATAAGCTTTATTTTAATATATATTTAAAAGACGCATATTTTTAAAAGTTAAGTTGGAAATGTTCTGCTTTTATACGTATGTTTCAAGTTTTGAACGGCTTCTAAATAAGGAGAAATTTCTTGATTTAAAAAAAATATGTCAGATAAAAGGGGTATATATATAATGTATATAGAAACAACAATTTGTGTTGATCCATATATTTCTCAAAAAGTTATAACAAATTTAAGTTGAAAACTTAAAATCAAAAATCGAAAATTTTAACACAAAAATAGCATTTCTTTAAACTACGACAGCCGTTAGCACGTAGGAGATAAGTCGTTGGAACAATTTTTTTTATGGTACGTTTTATAAGCTTTAATTTGACATTTATTTAAAGGACGCAGCATTTTTGGAACATTTTCAAAAGTTGAGTTGAAAAAGTTGAATTTTGTAAAAAAGGTTCTATTTTGAATCCCCTCTTGTGGGCAGATAAAGGGTCAGAATTTCAAAAATATTATATCAAATAAAAGAGAATTACTTAAGGTTACAATACAAAAAAAATTATTTTGATTCATTCATTTTTCAATGAGTTATGACATTTTTTAATAAAAAAAAGTGAAAAAAATGTCGAAATTTACAAAAATCTTCATTTTTGGGAAGATTTTTACCATATACGGGGAACGAGGAAAAATGTTTTATTTTTGAGGGTAATATCTTCAATTAGATACGATTTGTGATCTTTTGACGTATCGTTGAGAAAAATTGATCCAGTGAGAGCTGAAAAAAAGTTGTGACAGACACACAAAAAAAAAAATAAGTAAACATATAATGGCAAAATCAATATCTTCTTAGCTTTGCATGGAAGCTAAACACATTTGCTAGTTTCTTAATTCTTACCGCTACAGAAATAGATTAATCCCAAGTTTACTCTTTACATGATAATATGTATTATTGAGAGCAAAATTTATAAATTACCGGATTTTTTTTTTTTTTATCACTAAAATCCACCAAAAAATAACTTAACACGCTTTCTAGCTTAGTAACAACCAAGAGGACCGAGTTTTAATCATTAAATTTTTGCCTCCCCGTGTAAAAAATAGTTCCGGCGCCCTTGTAATTTGTGCTTACTAATTATTTATCAGTTATATTTTAGAACACAATATTCAGTGATATTAGCTGGTAAATGTTGGAAGCTGTTTGTAAAGAGTTTGACATTTGAAAAGATACTTGCGAGTTTTCAAATACGTCAGAGCTGGTTTATTTTACAGATGATACAGTGGAAAACAACCGAATAACTTATTATAAATTTTAGACTGAATAACCAAATTATACTGTGACCAACTCGAAAATAATGTTTGTCGTCAAAGTTATATTAAATAAATTATAAATTATGACTTATTATTTAGACCACAGAACTCAACATTGAGGGTGGCTAATATTTTACATTAATAAATAATAATGAATTCGTAATTACTCATATCGGTTAGTTTTGATTTATTCAACGTTAACACTTTGTATGTTCGAATAAAAAAATTATTTAAAATAATTTTATTCTCACTCTAAAGCAATAATGTTATACCGTATTTTTGTATCTTTAAGTGGATTGGTTTGACATAATGTTAATTAACGTTAAATAACACATCAGATTTTATAAATATTATTTTTATAATATATTAACTCGGAGATGAAATTTAATGATGAAGTATGGTAAAAGTAATAATAAAATAAGAATTTTTTATAATGAAGGTATAAAATTGGTTTTAAAAGAAATAGTTATAATTTATATTCAATAATTGTTTAAACAATTGTACCCTTAATTAGCTCAATCATCTGTGTCAATTAACCAGGTTGTTAGTGAATTTAGTGAGACAGCGATTGTTTTCCCAACGAAAAACTCTTGAGAAATAAATAGTGTTTAAATAAAAGAATAAAAACAATAATGTAAGTTACTTATTATTATAATTGTATTGATGAAATGGGACTTTAAGTCCATGTAGTTCGAGTGTCTCTTGTTGTTATGGATAAACATACATATAGATATATTTAGTTCTAAACATAATAAAAGTTTTAAGAAAACAAATTTCTAATAAATTATGTGTGAGTATTAGCGATAGTTAGTAAAATTTGAAGTGATCTCGAGGGAAGTTAAGAATACCAGTAATTTATCAGGATTTACTTTTCCACTCATCGGACTTAACAATGACGTCCAGGAACTCCAAGACAAATAAGCGGTCGTGCAGACGTAGTTTTTCTGTTTCCCACGAAAGGTTGAAATCGTCGACAAGGACTAATCTGAGTACAGATAGTATCAAAGTGCTTATGTATCTGTTTTTCCAAGCTTCAAGATGCTCTGAATTCCGTCGGTTTACTAGATTAAGCTTAACGCTGTTTTACGTTGTTCTTTGAATAATAATACATATTTAAAAATAACTTGAACTGGTATAAATATGTACAAGAATGGTGGAATAGTAATTTAAAAAGTATATCGAAAATCCACTGGTAGAGTCGTAACAACAGTTATTGATAACTACTAAATTTTTAACTACCATTTTAATTTACTTTGCTTAAATAACTATTATTTTTTACTAAAAATATTATGCCAACTCATTAAAAAGGTTGAAATATACTTAAATGCATAATCTTAAAATTTTCAAGATTCTTTCTATAACATACCATTATTTGCATAGTATTATGACAATTTTAACACAAGGTAACAAAAGTAGACTATTGCAATCTATTAGAGAAATTTAATGTTTCTTATAAATAATTGCATATTATCAACAGGAAAATTAAGATTAGTTTGTCTGAATAACCGTTTAAAAGTTACTGTAAATTAAATTATAATTCCTTTAAAAGGTTTATTAAAGTTTTCATTACTCAAATTAATATTAATTTATAAATCATTCTAATTACTTGTATTATCTGCAGCCAACTCTCATTCATTGCAAATAATGCATTTACTCGAAATAAAATCAACTTAAAGATAATTCAAATAATAAGAAGTAAAAAATAAAATAAATTACACTTTTACATAAGTGATATATCTTTTCTTACTTTACTCGAACATTCGTGATCCTTAAAATGGCGGTCGTTTTGTTACTTTCATTACCCAACCCTATGCGGAGTAACGCTATCTCTAACACATGCCAGCCGTTGGACAGGTGCGATTTATCCTTTCTGGAGACCATTCGCCCGTTATCTATGTGCTCAACACTCTACCTCTTTAACTGGCTGATAATATAATGGGCTCAAGAGAAATTCATTCATTTTGTTATGGTTAAGCCGCAAGCACAATCACAGTAATACATTCGGTCAAAATTCATGACGTCATTAAAAAAAAATTAATAAAAGTTTTTAATGAATTTTTTTTGCTACTGTTTGTATGTATTAGAATATAAAATAAATTTATAATAACAAAAAAAATGTGCACTGAATTAAATTTGTTTTTTTATTTTCAAAATAAAATATTTAAGTTTTAAATTAGTTAATTATGAATTTATTTTTTATAAACAATTTTTATTTAGGGTACAAATATTTAATTTTTTATTATTTATTTATAAATAATAATACCTATGTTAAATTCATTGGATGAATTAAAAATTTTACTGTAATCCTTTTTTTGACAAAACTATAAGGATATTTTATGTATTCAAATATACTTTACTAAGATTAAAATTAAGTTTAAGTATACTTGCCCGAGATTTCGACCGGAAAGATCCGCCAGATGAATATCCTTCGTTGGATCCATGCGGTCCTATGTTGGGAAACTGAAAAATATTACAAAAAAACCGTTATTTATATATCTATTAACAGTGATTAGTAATGATTTAGCTTCAGAAACTTAGGGAAAAGCCAGTGAATATCTAAGTTCCATGAAGTTAATTATTCATCTAATGTAAATTGTTTTTAGCTTATGACAATCCATTAGATTAAAATTTTGCAGAAGTGAGAATGTTAGAATTAAAAATATTTTAGGAAGTATAAAGATATAATGAAATAATTTTACAATAAAAGAAACTTTTCAGTTGGTATCTGTCAATTTGTCATCCGGATATAAATATGAATTTAATGTTTATTGTATGTTCGAATGATGAACGAAAATATACACCTGTGTGGATTTTCCTTTTCCCTAATCTTACCTTCTGCGACCCTACCTCTCGGGTAGAGATGCCCATTTTGTCATGATGTCTGATTTGTACCGGGTAGATGATCTGATAGTAATTGGCTCCGATGTTCCGCACCAGCTCTTGGTTTTGTCGATAATCCCGTAGGAGCCTTTCCACTTCTCCTGCACACATATAGAAAAAAACATATAGAGATATTTATTTTACGTGGGTAATAAATAATAATGAAAATCGTAAAATACCAGTAAGGCTAGTAAAAATGGAATAATTTTTCTTCTTCAAAGCACGCTCACCAAAAATAAAAAAAAATAAATAAAAAAAAGGCGATTGCTTTGGAGCTAAATTATATCATAAAATAGTGATTTTATTTTGAAAAAAAATAACTCTGTTATCAAATTATCTATAAGTTATAAAACAAAATATATGATTAATATATGAATGAGGAAAATATTAACAGTATATTTCCAAATGTCGATTATTTGTCTTTTTTAAACTCAAGTTAAGTTCTTCTTATTGTATAAAAGAAGTTTTTATTCTTATGAGGCGTTTACTAAAAATTCACCAGATAAATGCATTAGTTTTGACGTTAACTACATTCATATTTTATACTTGTGAGGGTATATTTTATTTGATTAAAACGTCTGAGTTATCCATGTGAGTTGTCGAATAATATGCTGTTAGTTTAGGAAGACGTCCGTGACTACCTAAATTGTACAGAACATGGATTGTCACTTAACGAGTTATGGGTTTGCGGTATAATTTTCGAAATAATTCAGCCAAAATTATCCGGTTTTAGACATTCAACAATATACTTTCCGACAAAAGTGATTATTTCCATTGGGTCCTTTTAACGCTTTTTAAAATAATATTTGTCTTCAATTAATGCGAAAAATACACTGTATTAATGATTCTACTTTACAACTATCGTTACCAATAAATTATTTTGAACCCTGTCGCCTTTGAAGAAATTAGGATTCCATCGTCGTTTTTCAAATAATTTCATTTAACGTCAAAGCGAAGCCAGACAACCGTGTTGAACAAGACCGCAAAGAAGATTTAGTCTCATTAGTATCAACATAACACAACAGTAGAACACATGTGCTATAATCGTTTTTTCTCATTAGTTTACTACTCAGCGAAGAGTTTCAAATCATTTTTGTCAAAAGGATCATTCTTTCTTTTGTTGATGATTACGGCTCGCAAGGGACCGATAATAATTTGTCGATGAAACTAACTCCTTGACGGCTTTCAAAAAGCAGAATTGCAATTTTACTGTTCGCGAATGTATAGCTCCGCGTATAATAGCAGTTTAGTTCATTAGGAGACCATTTTACAATTTAATATGATAAAACTATATTGGGTTTTTTAAACTCCAAGTGTAATAGTGAAATCTTAGAAAGTATATTTCACAGTTCTCCAAATAAAGTTATTCAATCAAAAGTAAGCGAATATCACAATTCTTACATTTTAATTGGTAATTCAGTACTCGCAGTACTTTCTTTTTTAAGATAATTATTAGTTCTTAGTTTAATCTTTTATCTTTTGTGTTGAATTATTTATCAAATAAAATTACGCCTAGTGCTATAAATTAGTTTTGGGTAACTTAATTTATTCAACAGTACTTATAATACAAAAAAAGAAGATAATGTTTGTTTGGCAATTTGTACAATTTTAATGATAGAAGTAGCTAAAATTCATTGATATATCAAAAATGAAGCACTATTTTTTTGCAAAACAATTATACATAATAGATATAAGTTATCGATCTCATAAAAAACTACTCAATAGCTTTTACGAACGGTAAAATACATCTTTTTTGTAAGTCCATTAACAAAAATGGAATATTTCTTTTATGTAAAATATATATGGTCAGAAATGCAAGAAAAACCATCGTCTGATGTACAATATGTTTCATTGCTATTAATATACTAATAACAATAATAATAATAGTATGCTATCATTATAATAAACCTTTTGATAATATTTGAATATAATAACAGCATTCTGAAATAACCAAATTCTCAACATTGAAAATCTAACCGCAATATGGATATAAAAATTGGTCTATCCTTTTTATAAAAGCCTACTCGATGTGACACAAGCACGTAAAACAGTCGTCAGTATACTTATTTGCATTTAAACATACAATTTACTAGTACAAATCTGACATAGACACCTAACGTATTTCACTCGACCCGGATCAACTAAACATTAAGTCTAAACATGCGTTTTACCCAGTGGAATTTGAATTTCCTAATAATTGTTTCCTTATAAGTTACCAGCGTGACGTCTAGTTGCCCGGAAAATGGTATCCACGTTGGACCCTTATAGATATTACAACACCTGTGACAAAAGGTATCTTAGGATTTGATTGGCTAAATATCAACAGACATGGGTCTATGTTTATAGTACAAATTACAATTGTAACATTCCTTTAAAGTCATCTAAATACTATGTATTTACAGACTTCAAAATGTTGATCTATTTATTATACAAAATTTTAGCGGTTCTATTATACGGTGCCAGACAACAGTTTAGGTCCACGTGGACCTTACAGTGAATAACCTCACAATTATCATAAGATGTAAAAAAACCAAGGTTTTTCTAAATTAATGTTATTTATTTGCGTTATTTCACAAAAGATGTAATCATACTGTAAACAGAAATCTCGACTTTTATAAAGATTAACCTTTTTTTTGTGCATATTTTAGATTATTTATTTTGCTATATTATCTAGAATTTAAAAATGGAGCAATTGAATCTAAATTTTTGACCCGTAGTGTATTGGAAATTGATTCTACTAAATTAATTATGCTGATTAATAAAATAAGTGAAAAATTCGTGTAGTAAGCGTTTTAGTAAAAAATACTTTACCAGAGGCGTAAGAATCATTTTGCTATTCTGCTAATGTTCAACATTGCTAAAAGTTAAAGAAGGTACAATCAATTTTTTATTAATCATTTCTTTAAATCGAACCTTTTTGAGAAGGTCTTTAATTTTTCATAATTTTTAGATGTGCAATAATAGTATATTCAGGAACCGTGATATTAAACCGGAATTATAACAAAAAAATAACTTGAAATTATTGCTTATTCTTTAGAAACTCTAAAAACAGGGTTTCGACCAAAATAAATTAAAAAGTACCAAGTAGTTTTTCCCACCAAATGAATATGATCAAAAACCTTGGTTTATATTCTTTTGGTAAAGAATACGGTGAATCTTTATTTATTATCCGCTGTCTTTTATTGTAAATGTATTGAATTTTCAGGTAATAATTTAAAACGCTAGTAATTAAAATATAAGAAAATTATCATAAAATAACAAAGAAATGGATGGTTTTAGTTTATTTTTTATTTACGATACTACATTATTATGGAAAAAGTTAGCGGTGTATTTGTTAAGAAAAATTATTTGTTTGTATAATCTTATTAAGTGTTGTTCATATTTTTCTAAATTGTTAATCTAACAAAAAAATAAATAAATAAACGGCATATACAATATATATAATTTAGAATTTTTCAAAGGAGTATTCTTGAGTAATGTATTAAACAACATTTAAATGAACTGAAAAAATTAATAAATTTAACGAGTTGGGTGGCGATAGTTTAGATTCAAGAATATACTTTACGTTTGTTGAAAGCTGTAAACATAATATATTTAATGTATGGGTGCCCTTTGGAAAGGCAACTCCCACCTGACTTTATAATAATATATATTTTTTCATATATTTTTTTTAATGTAAGTTATGTGTAATTTAGTAGGCAAAACCAGAAAAACACATACTGAAATATTACAAATGTACTTACATTATTCGGGGGCAGACATTCGATATTTTGTTATAATTATAATTTATAACGTTTTATTATCATATACTTTAGATTTAAACGGGGTAGCCGACAAATGAGGTCATAACTTATAACAATATCTAGATTTTGGTGCGATTATGGTATTCATAATTTATTACAAGGCTTAAATTTGCTCGCCGGCGATTCTATACTTGGGCAATAATAAATTAAACCATTTATTTTTTAAGATAACCCAATTATTTTCCTTTTACGGTTACAATGCATAATAGAAATACGGTAAAAGTACTTCGAAAAAATGACCAAAATACGTTTGTAGGGAAACAACTCATCTGGATACATTTTTTTACTCGGTCGCTCTAAGTGTGATAGTGGTCAGATCAAAATAAAATATACTCCAAACAGATTCTTTCGAAGAAACATCCCACGATAACATATATCGACAACAAGATAACAATCACATATATCAACGGTCGCTACTTGTAAGAAAGGTGTAAGTTATGAGGGGTAAATATCCGTATTTTCACTATTACTGTTCGCGATTTTCGAGATGTATATTGCCTTTTAAACCCGTATATGACATTCTTGTGAAAATAATATTATCTCTATACTTGAATAATCCCCTAAAGCCTGTTAAATATTACCACGGCGAAACAAGATTTACTAAATCTCTATCATACGCGAATAGTGGTTTTTAAGAATGCATATTACAAATTATAATTTACTATAAATAAATAAATATAATTTATTATAAACTTTTTCCAAAGTATATTTTTTAAAAAGTTGTATTTTTATTGTCTTTATATTGGTGTTATACTATGTTATGAACAAAATAAGTTAGAAATAGACATTTTTACATGAGCGAAATTTAATTAAACCTTGAAATAAAGCAACTCGAAGTTATCATTGTGTAAAATTATTTAATTACAATTGTTATTGATTTTCCTTTAATACAAATTAAATTAGAACATTTTAATATATAAAAATATCAGTTGTTATAAGTTTCAAACAGTTTATTTTGAGAATAATATTTTCATAAATGAGTGTAAAAACAGTTGAACTATATAAAAATACACCGAAATTCAATGTTGCAATTATTTGCATTTAAACGTTTTATTATTACTTTATTTTATTTTCGTACATACACGATATTAAGGCACATAAATACCTTACCATTTGCACAAGCTGAAACCAACTAAAATTCTCGTTTTTGGCGTAATTATACTATAGAATCGCATAAGAAAGCTTAATGGAATGACAAAGTTGTACACTAACCTGTAGAAAAGCATTAACACGTATGTGTTATTTGCGCGAAAATAGTATTATCGCTCCACTCAATATATCTTTTAAGTCTGTTAAGT